CTATGGCACCATCAAGAATGTGATGTGTATCCATTTTTGCAGTTTGGGTATCAATGATCCATCCCTCACTTCCTATCCACTGGTACCCAGTCAAGTTGTGCTGAGACAAGGCATGTAATAGCACAACCATATCTAAGGGTGAGACAAATGCTACAATCACCTTGGAGGTGGAAGCCTTGATAATGTCAATGATCTTTTTTATTTTATCTGATGAATCAGTTCTAAGGAAAGATACAGAATACTCCAGACAGATGCCCAGTTGCTGTGCAGTCTCTGTGAATGTAGCCATGCCATTATTGCCATAATCATCATTGCTTCTAATAGCTCCAACCCAAGTCCAACCAAAGTGCTTGACCAACTGGGCCAGGGCTCTGCTCTGATAGTCATCACTGGGTACTGTTCTGAGGAAGGATGGGTATTTGGTTTTGTCACTGAGACAAGCACAGGTGGCAAAGTGGCTAATCTACAAGAAAAAGAAATGATAAGATAAGATGTAAGATATAAAACATTTACACAATCACATTTGAGCAGCCGGAACCACTGGAAAGGAATAACTATATTCAACAAATATTAAATTACATAATTACTAATGTTACCCACCAGTGGGATATGAAAGGAACCGATGACAGTGGCTATAGCCATACTAGGAGAGGAAGAGGTCTCTCCCATAATAGCCTGCACTTGTCTGGGTCTGGTACATGGTGCCTTGATGGGTGCAAAAAAAATGTCATTACCATTAGCCAAGGCCAGTGCAACCCTCACACTTTTGGCTACAGCACGACAGTCATCATACATCTTGTAGCCCAGAGAGATGCCAGGTAGTAGTTCTGCGTTGTTATTAATCTCCTCAATGGCGAAAATCATAGCCTGGGCATACTGGAACTCTCTGAAATTCAAACTTGATGCAGACAGTTTTAAACTGTTGGATTCAGAGTATTACTTCAAACAAAAACATTAGAGTAGTAAATGAAATTTAATTTTAATACTCCATTTGGGAAGCCTTTTATATGCGCTTTTACTTACTTGCTATTTTAAATAAAAATAGTTTTCTATGCTGTAAGTTACCTGGTGCATTCCACTGGCAGTGGTTTGTTTGTGTAGGTATCCTGTCTGACTTTCCAGCAGTGAAAATTGAAGATTCCCCCCAAAGTAATGTCCCCATTCTTAAATAGCTGTGGGTTGTCATTATCCCCTCTACGCTGGCACACCAGCTCCTCAGCATGAGAGGATACCAACAACAACAGCTGTAAAAGTGCCCAGCCCTGCTCTGTCCACCTCTGTGTGAATGTCATGCTGTCTGAGAGAACTAAACCACTGGGTGGCATCACATGTACATTCAGCCCAATCAAACGTTTATACTGGTTATTTATACATTTTGTAATAGCATAAAAAATAGAGGATGAATATTTCCTCTCTCCTGACCTACAAAGTGGGGTGAGTGGAAGGAGGTGCCCAAATAAAAGTGTTTGGTCTACAGCCTATTCTAAAAATATTTTCATGTTTGAATGTTTTTTTTTCACAAAACAGTTATTTAATAGTTATTAATAGAATGAAAGCACAACTCTATTTTATTACTCATTCTTCTGTGCATGTGATATGCATTGGGCAACCATTTTCTTTTTTGTTTATTTTTATTGGACATTAGTTGTCAGATACAGGTCATACATGTTTGATTAAAACCTGTGAAATTAGTGTCAAAACAAATTGCACCTGAATTCATGCTGGTCCTGCTTACACATGGATTCATAGTTCAGGCAAGTGAAAATGTGAATGCCTTCCTCTTTCAGGTTCAGATGTTAAACTGATCCAGACAGTTAAATGGTTAATATGGTTACTGTGGGATATGCATGTAGGGCAAAGCCACTCTGTGGGTGATAGTCATTCAAATTGGTTATTTTACTGTAGCCCTCTTGTCTTATAGGATGAGAGTTACTGTCTCCATAGCCCCCCAAGGGGTACAGGCTAAGACTGAGTCTCAGAAAAAAAAAAAAAAAAAAAAAAATAGAGCTTTGATCATGCTGACCAGAGGCTTATGACACTTGTCAGTGTTTAGAGATGGAGGTGGAGATACCCAGAGAATGGCAGTGTGGTCAGAAAAGTAGATAGAGGCTTCTTTTCAGGCAGATTAGAAATCATAAGAGGATGAAGGCAAGAAGGTAAATAGTGATAGGCTGAACAGGTGAGTATACTGATTCCCTCCAGACAGGTTTGGAGCAGAATGGGCAGGTGAGTATAATAACCTCTCTACAGTTACTAGCTTTATGCAGAACACAAACAGTCAAAGAGAAAACAGGTGAGTAGGCTGCAGAAAAATCAAACACTGAGATCTGCCCACAAATATTTCCCACGGTGAGCAGATAACAAAAAGGGCAACACACACTCCTCTTCGATGTGAACATCTGACATCTATGTTGTGTCTCCTGTCTGAAGCAATCACCCAGAGCTGGTCAGGATTGTGGTAACAGCAGCCTTATTCTGGACAAATAAATACATCTGCAGTATACAGGTTTTTTATCACACTATAACCTTTTATGTACTGTTTAATCTGGACAAGGTCCAAGTTTTCCTCTTAGGGGAAAATGCAAACCAGTATTTGTGCACTGGGATGCTGAAAAAATGCATTAGCTAAATCAACAACTGAAAACCACTTATTGTTGGAACTTGGGACAGTTTTGAACACATATGGAATGTTTGGTGCACAAGCATGGACTGCAGCATTTACCACTTACAGGTCCTGTACAAACCTTGACTGCTCCGGCTGGCCAGTATCTCTGATTTTTTTAAGAGAAAATATAAGTGTGTGCATAGGTGACGTTTCACATGGAACATGCATGCCTCCCTTTAACAGGGATTCAAACACTGATAAATCTCGCCGAAATCCTTTGAAAAAGATCTTCCTTAGCAGCCCCATACTGTGCTCCATCATCCCAGTCGTTTTTTGGCCAGTTTCCCTCCACTGCAACCCACTTCTAACTGATCTGAATCCAAAGCAGATGCTGAAGTTCGTTTGTAGCAGGTTTGAACTGTCCAATCAGCAATTGTAATTGTCTGGCATACTCCTTTCTTCCTGCCTCATTCAATTGAGGCAGATTTTGTGCCACTTTTTTATGTCTGCAATAGTCCAGGGAGCAAAAAATATTTACAGGTACATCTCAAAAATATCGTGGAAAGTTTTTTTTTCATAATTCAAAAAGTGATATTTTCATATATTATTCTAGATACATTATATGTAAAGTGAAATATTTCAAGACTTTTTTTTGTTTTAATTTTGATGATTACAGCTTACAGTTCATGAAATTCAACAATCCAGTATCTAAAAGTATTGGAATATTTCATTTTGAGTTTGAGTACCTTTCTATTTATACAGTATAAATACCATGTATTTTTTCAACTAGTTCAGTACACGCAACCACACTCATGGGGAATACGCTCAGGAGTGCGAAATGCAGGACTTCTAGACTGAAAAACTCTTTCTTTCCAACTGTCATCAGACTCCTAAACAGCTGACTCAGGATCTACCTCATATAATTCCATCTGTACCGTTTACATACTCATTTTGCACATGCATAATTGTACACTCACTGCTGAATATTTGCACTTCATGGCTCCCACGTATCATATATTCTCTCTGCATTATATTGAGTTCTTGTTGTATTTTTTTGTGCTTCTTTCACTTGCTGCTTTAAAGTGCCTTAGATTTGTGTTACTACCTATTTAGATTTGTTATTGCTCATCTACTTTATATTTCACTTGTATTGTGTGGCATTCATGCGGACAGCAAAGGAAGAATTTCATTGTACAGGGAAACACGTTTCCTAACTGTGCATATGACAAAGAAACACTTCGACCTTGACCTTTGACCTACTGCTGACTTGACAGTTGTCCAGAAGACATGCATTTTTTCTCTTCTTTCCTGCTTTCCTGCCCTGCTTTCACCAAACTTAAGTTTATGACTGTCACGCCGGTTGTCTGATAGCATGAGCAAGGCATCTTACTATGGGGTACACCTCATCCGCGTAGCCCTCAGAAGCTCCTATTCCATTACACCAGCCAATGTGGCTGGCAGCTGTGGCACTGTGTCCGAAGGAGGAGTCTCCTCCCCCTACATATAGGGTGAACACTGTGTCACCAATTTATTCTAGTGGGTTAACAGCTTCCTTGCTTCATACAAGGAGAGTGGAGAAAACTGTGTTCAGGATGTACTGAGAGTGCATGTGTGGCTTTTAGTGAGAGACGGTGCCCACTTTTCCACACAATCAGGTTGTGTGCTAAACTGTGCAACCTGGGTGACCGCAGCCCCCTCCAACTGTTGATATACACTACAATCATGGTGCTGTCTGACCTGACCAAGACATGGTGCTCCCAGTCTTCACTGACCATGAGGTGGAGGGTTTGCCCTGTTGTGTGCACTGCAGCCCCCAACTGGTTGTAGAGGAGAATGAGCACCATGGCACCCCCTGCATGAGAACAAGCAGCCTACACCAACGAGGCGCTCATGCAGCCTGCCCCACCAGGTGCTTGACACCCTGGTGGGGCTGTAGGTTTAATTTTCATAGTGTTTTTCAATGCTATTCTTTGTTTCTGTTTTGTGTGTGGATGCAGTACCCTTGCCCTCAGCAACATGCCTTGATGCACAGGGGAGTGTTTTACTTGAGAATAAAACAGGGGTGTGCTTGTGAGACTGGATTGGGACACTGGAATGTGGATCATGCAGCTTTTGTTTCTTCTCTTTCTGGGTGTGAACTGTGGGCTGAACAGAAAGCGCATGGTGTGGGGGTGGAAAGGGAACAGGAACTGGCAGCTTGGCCTTCCCCATCAGCAGATGTGAGCTAGGCTTGTGGGCCACCTTGTACCACCACTGGGTTGAATGGCTTTCTAAACCATGAGGGTGTGTGAACCTGGGGCCTGGGGGTGGTGTGAGCCACAGGTTGGGGGGCCGGGGGCTTCATCTTGTAGATTACACCTGCAGCTGTCTGCGCCACAGCATGCACAAAGGCATGTAGTGGAACAGGGGTCTCAAAAGGTATTCTGCAGGGCAGGCACAATTTGAGGGCATCCTCTTCTTTCTTTTTCTCCTCACATCTTTTCTGCAGCATGATGACAGCAGATCCATAAATTCCCTTAGGGTCAAGTTGTTATGGTTGCTCTCATTTGTCGCCAATCTCATGCTTTTATTTTGGCTTTTTTCTTTTTCATCTCCCTTTACCTGCTCTTGCTTCACCACGGTCTAAATAAATGAAGGCCAGACAGTGGAACACATTTTATCTTTTGTAAAGAAGGTGATTTCTTGTCATTCAGTGTGACCCTCTACTGTGATCATGAGTCAGTGCAATAAAGCTAATGCACTATTTTACATATAGCTTATTAACTGTTGCATAGTTGTCATAAATCTTGTATAACAAAAATCATTGCTTAAGCAAATCTTAATTATTTGAAATTTGAGGCCGTGGTGCTGAAAATTTTAATTAAATACATTTTTGTTTAGGTATAAAATACAGAATGAAATACATACAGACACATAAGCCATTAACAGCAATTATTTTTTGCATGTTCATACTTATGGAATTGTCTGACCACATGAAATTAATACAAGTTAAGCCAAAGATTTTTTCTTTTAACTTTGAGAATGTAGATTTTATTTGTTGAGTACATTTTAGAAAAACTATATTAAATGTTATAAGCTCATTTAGAAATAAGGTATTAGGCTTGTGCATTCATTTGTAATTGATTATACACAGTGTTTATTGTCATATGCACAGTACAGAAACGTGTTTCCCTGTACAGTGAACTTTTTACTTTGCCGTTCACATGAATGCCACATAATACAAATGAAATATAAAGTAGATAAATAAATAACACAAAATCTAAGGCACTTTAAAGCAGCAATAAAATAAAAAAATATAAGAATGTAATAAGAGAATGTATGCTACATGGGAGCTGTATGTGCAGTAGTCAACAGTGAATGAGGGAGATTTGTTGGGTTTTAAAAAACAACAACAATAATAATAATAGTACGGTCTAGACCTTACTTTATAAAGTGTCCTGAGATGACTTATGATGTGATTTGCTGCTATACATAAAAATCAGAAATGAACTGAAAATTGAATTAGTTGATATGACTGTATATTACATTACATTAAATGAAGACATCTCCTTAGGCTATGCCAATAACATGACATACGGTGGGGCACAATAAACCTAGTCAGTAACATGAATATTGGTTTCTACAGGAGTTTGGTTAACAAATTATGTAAAAATAAAGGCACAAGAATGCCTTTGCCACCATAGTTTGTAAAATGTTAGAATGATTTTGATGCCCCTTTCTCCATCATATTCCTTTTTGTGTTCATCTCTGGTTTCAGTAAGATAATATAACATTTTGGAATAAAAGTACAAATGAGCAGTCCAAAACTGGAGGCCAGAATAGCAAATATCTCTACAGCAACACTGAACTTCCCAGGAGAGCTGACATATGCTGGAACAAAAGTGATCCAGACTGCACAGAATATCAGCATGCTGAAGGTGATCAGTTTGGCCTCATTGAAGTTATCAGGCAGTTTCCGAGCAAGAAAAGCCAGAATAAAACATAAGATGGCCAGAAGGCCTATGTACCCAAGTACAGCCCAAAAGCCTACAGCTGATCCCAGAGCACACTCTAAGATGATTTTGTCCTTGAACTGGGTAAAATTCTTAAATGGAAAAGGAGGAGAAATGGTTAACCAGAGCATACATATAAGAACCTGGATGAGAGTGAAAGCCACAACACTGAGTCTCTGCTGTGCAGGCCCAAACCATTTCATCACATTACTGCCTGGAAGTGTAGCCCTGAAGGCCATTAACACCACTATAGTTTTCCCCAGAACACAAGAGATACAGAGGAAAAAGGTGATGCCGAATGCTGTGTGTCGCAGCAGCTGCCACAACAGCAGTCATGCATGTTCCAAATAAGGCCGTAGCAGTGAGCAGTACTCCCATAATTTCTTCATATGATAGAAACTCTGCCTCCTTCTTTACACAGGCATCTCTTCTCTCATTGGACCAGGACTCAGGGTGGCATCGCTCACAGGTGATAGAATCTGAAAATGATATCAAAGCAGCTGTCAAACTTGCAAAGTAGATTTCTTTGTTTCTTTTCACCATCTACAGAGCATAATATTGTGAAAAGATTAAGAGAATCCAAGGAAATCTCTGTGCATAAAGGTCAAGGGCAAAAACCATAGCTGAATCCTTTGAGCCCTCAGGAGGCATGACATGAGAAACCATCATACAACCACAATGAATATAGCCACATGGGCTCTGGAAAACTTGGGAAAAGTGCTGTAACTTAACACAGTCCACCACTGTTTTCAGAAATGCAACCTGAACCTCTATTGTATAAGGAGGAAGCCAAACATCACTTTTGTGATGTCAGGCTGCTGAGTTCTCTTGGCCTGAGCTCATCTTAAATGTACCAAAAGACAATGGAAACGTGTTTTGTGGTCAGACGAGTCCAGGTTTCAACTTGTTTTCAGGAAAAGTGTCAAGGGGCTGTGTGCCAAAGTTGAATAAGACCATCCAGACTGTTATCAGCGAAAGGTGCAAAAGTCTGCATCTGTGATATGGGCTGCATCATTGCTCACAGGATGGGTGACTTGCATATGTCAATTAAAAAGTGTAATTAACAGGGAAGTTATAATTCAGTGGTAAACAGGCCTCTGTCTCAACTTTTTTGGAGTATTCAAGTAAATATATAAATTGCAGTTTTTGGTTTTTATTGCATATTGTGGGGTCCAGTTGGACTTGTCTGTGCAAATTCTCAGTCATCCAGGTCTTGGTAAAATGAAAAAACTGGACTTAGATTTCTAGGTCAAAGATGTCCACCTCTCATCCAAGAGGCTTCATCATTTCTGACTGACTGGTGTTGAGCCGATAATATCTCCGGCTCAACACCAGTCAGTCAGACTAGAAATCTAGTCCAGTTGATTTTTTTCTAAGTTTTCAGATTGAAAAATGTCCCAAATTTTCTGGAAATGGGATTTGTACACTCCTCCTTGAACTGCCACCTTATCGTGATGGAGGGCTTTGAGTACCCGAACGATCCTAGGCGCTATGTTGTTGGGGGCTATATGCCCCTGGTAGGGTCTCCCAAGGCAAACAGGTCCTATGTGACAGGTCATACTATGAGCTGTTCAAGATCCCATTATGAAAAGACAAAAATCAAGGACTGTGATGCCGCTCAGTATGGTGCAACTGGGGCCTCACCCTGGAGCCAGGCCTGGGGTTGGGGCTCGAATGCGAGCGCCTGGTGGCCGGGCATCTTCCTACTGGGGCCCGGCCAGGCTTAGCCCAAATGAGCGACTTGGGGACATCCTCCCGTGGGCCCACCACCTACAGGAGGATCCATAAGGTACCGGTGCATAATGGATTGGGCAGCGGTCGAAGGCAGGGGCCCCGACGACCCGATCTCTGGACACGGAGACTAGACGTGGGGATGTGGAATGTCACCTCACTGGGGGG